ACACTCATGAATTATACATTCCTAATTTAATGCCGTTTCCAAGGCCTTGACCACCAGCTCATGCTGCCCTTGACAACATTCCGCAATTTAGATTCGTCACATCTCCAGGCTGAGATTAAATTACAGCAGAGGCACATTCTCATGCATTGTGTTTGAAGGTGGACGTTAGCACACCAACTACTATTTATCTGATAGCCTCGTGTTGACGTACATGCATCCGATTGAAAAGGTCATTCTAGAATATGGTCGCCACTTCCAGCAAACTACCACGTGCTTTGCAGTGTTATTATTTGCATCATATGTGTGCTACACTGGTCAGTGAACGTGGCTTAGTTTTTCTTCATTTTTTGTATGCTGAACTACTGTGACCGTTTTGACGAATCCAATTAAATTACCTTGTGCATAAGAAAGCAATTTAATTTATATTGGATTGACTAAAATCTGATCTCTGAACGAACACAGTTACCCGAGGAACATTCACGTAAATCAATCAAATAATATTCGCTCATGATTGCTGTGCTTGCTTGCTGCTCGCCACAAACCCATATACTAAAATAATACCGACGTCTAATAATCAAAAAAGGTGTAAAGGATCAACTAGAATCAGGATAAAAAAAATTTAATTTTGTATACTGACACATGCTTGTTAAGTAATTTGTTTGGAAATTATCAATGCACAATATATTGTAAAACTAAATGAATAAATATTTTCTGGAAGGTTGCATTTCCTAGACGAATCTAAGCATCACTGTAGATCCATCGTTTATACATTACGAAACAGTGTAAAATGAAATTACAACAAAAAATCCATAAGGTGGTTAATTATTTATGTCAAATTTTGAAAAAAATACTGTATCGGAATGTTTATCTAAATTGGTTTAATGATAGCAAACATGGTATGTCACATATCAAATATATTATAAATAATATGATAGTGGGAATCTTTTTTATTCACATGCCTTAATCCGGTCGCTCCACCTCCGACACAGTGTTCTACTTTTTGCAACATGTCGTCAGCCGCGCGGTTCCTCAACTCCAGTCTCATTTGCACGAATATTTATCTCGGATTATCCTCACACATCCAAGGTGTAAATACACACAACGCAATGACACTAACTTGGCTAAGCTCAAAAGTAAACGATTGTATCCACAGCGGGTATCAGGCAAGCGTAATTGGGCTAGGGTTAATTCCGTGGCCACGGTGTGGTTCAAGTCCACATTCTGGGGCCCATAACAATGAAAAATGTGAATTATCTTATGCCATGGAGCTTTTTCATGGTTAAAAAACTTTCCTGCTTCTATGTTCTTGCACGTCCTCAAGCAACATTTTACTTTGTCATAAGCACTTGCCAAACTTTAATAAATAATCCTTTCAATCTTACGTTTTAGCAAGTGTATACTACTGATAATTGCCTTTAGTTTAACACAAGATAAACTGTTGTGAATCTCATTTATTCATACGACTTAATCCGGTTGCTCCAGCATAGGGTTCACCATTTACAGCATGTTGCCGGCCGCGCAGATAATCAACTCCTCCTTCATGCACACAGATATTTTTCTTGAATTACCCTTACACTTAGGTCATGATGTCAGCGCATGTATGACTGACACATCCGAGGTATAAATGCATACACACAAACCCCACACATGACAAAATAAGACCAACGTGATTGAGCTCTAAAGTAAATCGTTTTGTCCACATCCTCTTCAGTCATTTTATTCATCGCGGATATCAGGAACACGCAATCGGGCCAGGGTTAATTCCGTGGCCCCGGCGTGATTTAAGATTACATGCTATAGCCCACAACAATATAATCGACTCACGGTTTCGAAAATGTGTTTCTTTGTAAATGAAAATCAGAATTTGGTAAACATTATCGTCCACAACAGCGATCTTGCTCCTGAGATTGTCTACTAAAACAGAAACTATCTGCAGAGTCTGCAGTTAACGTTTACCAAACCAGCGCGAGTTAATTTTATTCACGAGTTAATTAAATATCATTCATTGTCGATTACGGTTAAAGTTCGATATTAAATCACTCGATTTTGCTCTTTAAGATATAGGTGGTCAAATGTAAAAATCGCAATTATCGCTATCCTCGGCCTTGCCTTTCTTCTCGCTCTGTTACGGGCTGCTAACTAGAGGGTTGTGAGGTAGTGTTATACTCAAACCGCTAAAAAACTGCTGATAACGGAATAGGGGAAACGAAATCAAAACAAGTTTTAAAATTCAATGCTCTTCTTTAGGACTCTGATTTTTTTCGAAAACTTCGCCAGGGGATGTACTTACAGTAAACGGGCAAAGGTTTAAAGAATTCGGAGCATTCAAGTCAAAATATTATTCCACCATTAAGACTGTAAACCTATGGAAAACTCTGAGAAATTGATTGATGGCTATCTTATCCTTCATGTTTATTAAAGTTTCAAATTGTATTTTTTTTCGACAAGCGTAAAATGTCTAAATGCGACAGCATTTAGATGGAATCATACAAAGTAATTATCGACATTTTGCTACACTTCACAGAGGACTACAGATATTTCATGCTGCTCCAATTAGCTTTATAAATTCCTTTTTGTATGCAAATCGCTAATGTGATGTTTAAAACGATGACATCCATCCCGAAATCTTCTTCACCTTGCGCAAATTAGTCGAGGCGTTAAACCATTTCGTGTATTGACAGTAACTATATGGCTCATATGTAAAGACTTTTTCTTTGTGACTCTATGATGAATTTGTCTTAGATAATCGGAATCCCTATAATCTGTAATAAATAAATCGTCTTATCATGAGCCCTGCTCTGCCGCGAAACCCAAAAAATTCGGTCGCGTCTATGATTTATCCAAATAATATTTCACAATCGTTCCAATATTTTTTTTTCATTTTAAAGCAGAAAAAAATTGTTGAATGCCTTTGATATCGCCCCACAACCCCACCATAACTGACCCTGTTTTCTATCGGTAAATTTTAGTTTAAATCTTTATTGGTCAGGTGTACCGCCTACCAGAATTAGTGCGGAGTTAGCCCAGAGCGTGCTTTCGCCGACCTCGGGCAATGTTGTGATATCATCTGCGCCAACGTAGTCTGCATTTTGCCATGGACAATCCTCCTCAACAATTCCCAACAAAACCTCTTATTCGATGTCCGGCATACTGCCTTGTCTTTGTGTCGTCCTTGTATATATATGGAGGATTTAATAGGTGTGTTATTTTTATCCATTCATACTACCTTGTACGTCGCTCTTAAGGCAAACATAGAATAGTTTAGTAATTGATTAAAAAAATTTCAGATGTGCTTTTCATTGACGTGTGTTTACATGTAGTTGATTTGAGAACGCTTCGAGGTCGATCCTTTCACAGACTCTAATCTTATTTTTGCGATTTTTCTTGGCTTTTGTGTCCAACCTTGCGTTTTAATAATTTTACTGGGTTCCAGTTTGTATTTGTCTGTTTATCCTTTTTATAGCTCGTCAAATATGTGTAACTTATAAAATTTGTCTAATGACAGCATTAAACGAGATTTAGAATTTTCGATGTTAATTTAAGGGTATGCTCGTCAGGCCATTTTATTATTTTTGGAATAATTAGTCAACAAACAAAGTTCTTCAGTGGATTTGAATCCAGTTTCAGCGGCGGAAGAGTGAAAAATTGTCATGTCGTATGAGAACCTCATATTTTTCACAATCGATGATTTCTAATGAATGGGCTCTACTTCCTTTTCTCGCCGATAGCTTCGCCCTACTCTGTAGTCTCTGACGATTTCGAGGGCAAAGTCATCACTTTGACATCGTGACGAATAGCCATTGGTTCTGTCACTAAATATCTGAATCATTCAACAAAAGTGTTTTAGACGTTTTTAACGTAGCGTTGTTATTTCACAGAGGGTGGCGTTTTGTAAATATCAGCCAACACCAAACCCGACTCAAAATCACTAGACAACTGCTGATTTTCGCAACCATTATGTAATTTAGGTGATGCGGTTCTATTGCTTTTGATGCCCGTCACTTTTCATCTGTGGAGTTGCAAATGTTGTGGCTGATGCTTATCAAGGTAGCATGTTTTTAGGCATTCCATAAAATTTGGATTCTGGAGGCCAGTCCAAGACCAAGACATTACTATTTGTTTGGATTATGGTAGCGATGGTTACTGGTTTAATTTGAAGTGACCAAGTTGTTCCTGGTTTTGATTTGTTCCCGTATTTCGGCTAATAAATGCGCAAATGGGGAACGTAATTTTCCTCTACAATATATCTTAATTCCTGTTTTGCATACCTCTCGTGGCATCTACCCTTCATTTGAATGATTATAAGCCACAAATTGCTACTGGTATTTATCTTATTTGCTGAATCACCGGCTCTTAAATTGATGCCAATTATGTGGTGCGTTGGTCATTTTACTATGTCGCCGCTGGTTTGACGTTCGTTCGTTTTTATCTTAGGTCACTGATATGCCGCAGGTTGATGCTCAACATTTTTACATTACATAAGCACTATGCTTTACTCTGTGGTATGGAGTATTCAGTTTAGATAGATATAGTAGTTTGTAATGTATCGTCTTAGCTTCCTCGTGGTTATTTTACAGAGTCTGATATTACTGCTAATGGCGCTATTTTAGTGCAAATGGTTGTCCGCGAAACAAAACCTACGTATTCCCTAATGTCACGCGCTACTTTCAATTAGCCCCTGAATGGGAACATTGAGCGTCCATACCAAGCAAAGTTTCTTCTTGCATGCTATCATTTTCCGGCATAAACAGTTCGTAAGATCTAATTCGAGTGCTACATGATTCCGCGCTATTAATTTTTTTCCTCCGTTTAACTTAGACAGTGTACAAAGAACGTGCGTCGCCGGCTTATTTCAGCCGTCGTCTCCTGTGCACTCATTTTCCTCGACACCTTGACGTTTCTTCGCTGTTCCGACTCCGTTCATGTAAGTGCGCCATCGGTATAGTGTCACTCCTCTAGTCGGGCGCGTACTTTTGTGATTTGTCAAAGTTATTCTTGAAATGGGAAAACCTTGGATTGGCTTTATTACTTCCATCGCTCGCAACCTCGGTATGTTCTTTTGGTCTAATAAGCCCCATAAGCTGCTCTTTTTAGCCCCCTTGTGGCACGAATATCTCTCTGGAAGGTTCTCGCCTGTCCTGGGTAATTGCATTCTCTTCAATATCCTGTCGTATTGTGCAGTCGTATCGTGTCTGACCAATTGCATGGCCAATTGCCAACCCTTCACTGTTTATCATAAAATTTGTATCTTTTTCCACTCTCGCTTAGGGGATAACAGCTAAAGGTGCCACTTAATCCAGGAAATCATATAACCTGGATTTCACTAGTAATAGGACAAAAACCGCTGTAAAAATCTGCGTAAAATGGCGATTTTCCAGTGCCTGTAATCGTGGTCGTTTACGAATCATTTTGAAGTTATATCCTGTTGTTAAAACACACTGATTCGGGTCCTGGGAAATTAAGTGGTCTACCGGCCAGGGCTTGTCTGGGCTTTGCCAAATTTGCCGTAATGCACGTGAGCTCGCCAGGGTCTCTCACTTCCGTTTAGACTACCTTGTGGAATTGAGGGGCAACGTGGACCTGTGTTGGCTACGGACGGTTGTCGTCGCTCCCCTTGTCGAGGAGGTCATCTTCCGTGGGTGCATCCTCTTTCACCTGCAACGCCAATTTTCCTCATGCGCCGGCCTCTGCACCGGTTCTGCCATTCTCTTTGCTTTGTGTGCGTTTTTACCCCAAAAAAGAAAACGAACTATGTGACAAGCAGGCCTTACATGTGCCTAGTAGTGTTTCTGTGTCACCTGGCTTAAATGCGGTTTAAATTGATGCCATCTAAAAACACTTGTTAAAAGTGCGCGCTATTTCCACACGCATCCGATGTAAGTGGGGATTGTGCTGGCACTAAGTATTCTCCTCGTTTGTGTAAGTACATAACGATAGTGATGCAAACGTTTTCGCGGTTTCGAGTAAAAAACCTTTGCTTTTTTTACAACTACCTTTTGTACTAATCCTAAGCAAGTAGACGATTATTGCCTGAAACTTAGTTACGAGGTGGGGTAGGTGATTCCTCGCGTTAACCACTTTCCATTTGAACACTTTTCAGCGCATTTTCATCATGTGATCGAGAAGGTGTACGACGGGCGCTCTCTCAAAGCCGCTGTGCTTGAAGTCCGTGAGTTTGCTTCCAATATTAAGATGTATCTGTTTTGGAACGTAAAATTATACCACTACTCTCCGTCTTGATAAAAAAACCGCCTGCATTTTAATCCTCCAATGAGTACTGCGGTTTTTTCAAGTGGGCATTTCTCCTTGTTTCAGTGCCGCAGGTCTTAATGACGGGCGTGTTCGGCATCTACTCCACGCTCATTGTTCTACGGACAGGCAAGTCTCACTGTTGTTTCCTCATTTTTTCGATAAAAAAAAACAGACTTCAAGTCCCGCCAGGTTTATTTGGTTGTTTTAACCTCGTCCGCCGCTTAAACCCGGAAAAGAGGTTAATGCGGCCCCGCAAGTAGTTTCTTTTTCCTATTGTCATTGGAGAGGCGGTTTCAATGTCACGTGACTTTAAAACAGGCGGCTTCGTTTTAGGTCATCTGGCGGCCGCCTGCAGTGTACACTCGTTGTGCAACGCAATGGGAATGCCGGACTTTCGAAGCGAGTTCTACCTTGCTGGGATACGCGATGGGCGGCGGGGTCGCTTGGTGTACGCCAGTCTCCTCGTCTGCGGTGTCCTCTTGTGGCTTGTCCTCATCGGACCCGCTACAACACTCTTCGGCCTCTCCGACTCCACCGTCTGCCGCGTCTGTCCCTGAAACTGCCTTAGGGCCGGCGTCGTCGTCGCTTGATATCTCAGTTGTTGTCACGGTGACCGGTGAAAATGTGGGAGCGCTCAATCTCTCTCTCTGTCACTGACAGGAACGGTCCGCCAAATCCTTTCAGTGCGTTCCCGCTTATTATGTGATATCCTCCACCACGTATTCCTCCGCTCCTTACTGTCTCCTCACCGAACCCGACCTACTCCAACAGAGAGAGAGGGAGAGTCGATCTGAGAGCTGAAAATTTGCGCTGTGGCCTTCCCGGCTATCACTAGGCTGCGTGTCAATGCGTACTTCTCGTTTTGTGCATCCAACGCATCAGAATCTCCAATATTGTGTCCCCCCCCCAACATCCGCTAGATTCATTATTTTAACCACCCATTGGTCACTTCCCACACTTTCCACAATGTCCGACAAGCCTCGTCTGTGGTTTCCCGAGTCGTGCCGCTTCACACCCTCTTTTCTTGTTTTACTCGACTGGTTTTATCAAATAAATACTCTCACTTCCATAGCACTTTGTTCCTTCCATTGAGATTTGCCTTGTCTGTTGCCCAGCCAGTCTCTGCGTGTTTTGATTGTCTCAATTTGGACCCAGTGAAAAAGCCGTGTTGACTGTTGACTATTTAAGTAGATTATCTTGGAAAGAGAATGCACTTCAGAGATTGGGATACACGTCTATGTTGTTTTTGACACTCCGTCTTTATTGGGGTTGCGTTTTGTTTGGCACGTGACAAATGCTAGGCCAAGTCTAAATGCCCTCAGTTTGGTCTGAACTGGTTTTTTTTGCAGCTTTAAATGCTAGAGACTCTTACGGTTGCTCTTTTAGGGACAAAATGCGCTGAGAGCCAAGGGTGTTTGTTGCCACGTCACGAAATTTTCTTCATTTTATGTTTTTCCTTTACGTAAGCATGGGTTGCTTTCCTCGATGTAACTCTAATACACATGTTACGTGCATTTCAGATGTCGCCTCGGGAGGTTTCCTACGACTCCGTTTGGGTATGGTTTTGTTCTCCGCAATATTTTGACCTTAATGATTCACTTTAACGCAATCTAACCTCCATTGAAAGCGTTTCCTCGCTACCGCGTAGCCCCAGTTGTTGTTGTTCTGTAAATCTGGACGCTTAGCAAAGTCCAAGCTGGTATGTTCAATTCATCGGGGTGATCACGTCGATAGTTTGACGTCTGATCGCATGGCTGGTGTAGGTTAACCTCCACTACCTATCTCCAGTAGGATTTGAAGTACCAAAAATTGTAGTGAAACGATTCTGTTCGCTTACCCTTGTGACTTTCCTTTGGCAAGAAAAAGGCATTTAAGTTAGCACAGATTGAGGGTGAAGCTGCCGTCAGCGTTGTTCGCACTCAACTGTTGTTGGATCTTTGTTCCAGACTTTATTGCAAGCCTTTCTCAAGGCGAGCAGCCCCGTGGAGGAGGAGAAGTGCTTCTCGCCGTTGGCCGATGGCGCAAAATACATCGACTTCACATCATACCTCTTAAGATGCCTTCAGTCTGCAATTACCGAGGCAAACTTCACGAAAACCGACGTAAGTCATCATACAGCTGCAGGAGTCGATGCGTGCGACCGTTGACTCTCGCCCCCTAGTTGGCTTTACTAACTAGGTGGGAATCTGTGCCTTTGAAGGTACACTGACATCCACACGTAGCCTTGAGCACCCAAATTGCACTTTAACCGGCTTATTTTTGTGCAAGCCCCAGCCGTTTAAGGTCGCCAGGTTGTCCTTTTAAAGGCCAGGGTCTTGCTAAAAAGCCTGCATGTTATTGCGTCCTCCCTCCCTAGGTTGGCGTTTTTTACGGGCGCGTTGTGCGGCTACTGGAGGCTCTTCTCCCCATGAAAATGCCCAAGGAGTTCATGGGCGAGCCACCTGCAGGTAATCCCGCTGATTGTCCCCTTTCCCTCCTCACTTCTCGCTCCATTCATTTGTGTCTCTCAGCAACTGCTTTGGTTTCTGTCGTGTAGCGAAATCTGACCAGGCCAAACGTATGCGTCTGCCCACCCTGCGTCACATGCTCACGGACACCTGGAGCAAGCTCTTCGAGAAGGAGGTGAGCACGCCCCCCCCCGCATTTTTTTAAATGGACTGGTTGAAATGGGATCCACACTCGTGCTGTTGTCTGTGCCTAGCTACCTGATGACTTGATGTTGGATTCACTGATGCGACTGGGTGATGGTCAGTTAGACAAGATGACCGACACGGCGCGCCTCCTGGCCCCCTACGTGACAACCGTCTTCGATCCGCCCTCCCCCGATGTGCCCCCCTCCTGGTCGCGTGCCGTCTCTCGCGCCATCCTCAAGGTCATTCATCTGGGAGGGCTCAACTTTGACAGGCTCTATCCTCGTCTATATCAGCTGCTCGACGACAGCCTTCTCACGTGTCCACACGCAGATCGTTTCCTCGTTGATCTCGATGACTTCCTGAGCTCCATGTGAGTCGTTATTAGCTGAAAAAGATCACCGATTAATTATGCAGTCATTCGGATAAGAGGGTTTACATGTATCGCGCGCGCACACACACACACATTATGTGCATATTGGGTTGAGGAATGCAGCATTGCGGTTGACATTAAGGTAATCAATTCCGTAGACGAAAGCTTGGCCTTGATTGTTTTTCCCGGTCACCAAGTTTTCCGATGTCTATGCAGTAAAAATCTCCAAATTTTGACCTTGTTTTTAATTCCGATAAGAAAGATGGGGCAGAACTTCCCAACTGAGCGCCAGAACCGCGATGACGTACTCCCCAAGTCGGTGCACATAATTAGTGCCTCAGATGTAGGATTGGTCGCTGTGTAATCTACTTGACTAAACTAATGATGTAGAATTGGGTTTGAGAAGATTTCACTCTGCACCGTCCTGGCAACGCGATCGTTAACAAGTTTAAAAGGCGTTGGTCAGTGATTCCATTTAGGATCGTGTTTATTCACACCCCTCAATCCGGTCGCTCCGCCCCCGACACAGGGTTCCCCTTTTCGCAACATGTCGCCAGCCGCGCGGATCCTCAACTCCCTCCTCATTCACACCTAGGTCTCGATGTTAGCGCATGTTTGACTCACATCCGAGGTATAAATACACACGCGCAAACCCCACACACGACACAACGACACCAACGAGGTTGAGGTCTAAAGTAAACGGTTGTGGCCACGTCCTCTCCGGTCTTTTTTTTCTTCGCGGGTATTGGGGAAACGAAATTGGGCCAGGGTTAATTCCGTGGCCCCGGTGCGGTTCAAGACCGCATGCTGGGGCCCACAACAGTTTGTTTCCCGCCCGACTGAACGCGTCTCCGTCTGCCAACGAATGCTGTTTTTTTTTGGTTTAAACTTTTCTTGTTGGTTTTCTTTTTAACTATAGTTTTGCATGCATCTTGTGGTTTAGACAGGTGAAAAATGAGTTTGCTGCATTTCGGTATGCCAAAGTTATTGTTCCGTGTTTAACTTATCGTGGATCTCGCGATCCGATACTCCACAGTCCAAAGGAAAATTGCGTTTGTCCCTTTTTCTGCCAATGTGAAATCGCCAGATCCGACACGTGCTCCAGCATGAGAAAACTTCCATCAAAGTAGATTCAGCCTGCGTCTAACTAGTCAATTTTCAAGTGAATTATTATTCTACAACGGTCGCGCATGTTCCATCGCTTGGCAGCATGGCTTGAATGTGGTAGCTTTGGGAACGAAGACTCTGAACATGAGTAAACTACAGATTACTATGCAACTATCTGTTTTAAGTAACGCAAATGTTTTGCTGAGGTTATACCACCCCGTAAACTGCTTTAATCAGGTGTGTTTCTATGCAACCACTCACGCTAGACGAGGATTCTCAAGAATGTGGACGAAGGGATGAGGACTAAGAGCCTTCTACCCGAAGCTGTTTACTCACACAACATTTTCACCTGATTTTCTGTTCCCCCGAAGTCACTTGCCGGCCGGCTGGGTCGCGGCTTTCGCCAAACGCCTTGCTCAGCTAACTGTTCAAGGGGCGTCCCTGTGGCTTTTGCCGCCTCTGCTAACTGTGGTGGCCAATTGCCTCATCCGTCATCCCATGAGTCGTGTCCTCGTGGATCGTAAGTCCTCGTCGGTGGACAGCAAGCGGAGACGTCTGGAAGACGGCGTACGTTGTCGAAGTGTACCACACAGACCTTCTATGCGTGCAAACACTGCAGATGTCATTGGCTTTCATTTGACTTAATGTAGGCGAATGAAGAAGAGCATGACGAGGCGGAAGCAGACGAATGTTCAGGGGATCCATACACCTGGAGGCCCAATTCCCTGGCCGACGATGCGCCGGACGCCCTTAAGAGCAGTCTGTGGGAGTTGGCGTGTCTGGAGAAACACTATCATCCTGAAGTTGCCTCCCTAGCTCTGCGGGTTCGGCAGATTGCTGGATCAACGAAGCCCGATCACTTGCCCGATTTGAAAAATCAGGTTCGCCTAGGAAAAAATGTACGTTTCACGCACAGGTTGCCTTGAATGATGCTGAACCGCTTGCATTTACATTCCACCTCTGCTGATCCAAAAAGTGTTTTCCGTCACTGTTATGATTACGAATCCAGCAATTGGTAAAATGTACACTGTTATCTTCCTCGTAGGTTTTGGAGTCATCGAAGAAGAAAGCTTGTCAATACTTGTCCGTACTACAAATGACAAACGCCAGAATTCCCTCCTTGTCGACCCTAGAGGGATGGACGAGTAATTCTGAAAAGGAAGTCAGGAATACTGCGTGATTCTATGCTCGTAAATATGTAAAATAAAATTTCTCTTCCTCTCACTAACTTTTTGAAAGGAGTGCTTACTTGAAAGAAGGAACAACTTTAATTTGCGTCATTCCACATACCGTGAACCGATGCGTTAGTTAGCCCCACGTTGTTAAGGCCAGGACATAGACGTGACCCCCAAAAGAGAGTCTGCAGTGTCTCGTACATTGAATCGAGCGGCCAAAATAAACAGATGCACTTCTGGAATGTGATACAAAAGGTGACAATTCTAGATCTATACTATTCAGTTATTGGGCCTGGTCTACCTGAAGTCATTCCGTATTTTGTTACATGCAGAAACTATAATACCAGTTAAAAAGTTGGTTAAGCAAGTCATGGGGAGGAATGGGCTAAGGTCATATAGTCGAACTTAGGACAATTCACCAAACGCTCTCACGATATCTAATGAAAATAAAGCGTTTAAACACTTGGGTTTATGCGACTGAATACATCCGGTTGACAAGGTGGTGTTTATGGACATCAGAACTAAGCCCCAACGGAGGGTACCAGTCAAAAAATGGACGAAGGATGTCTCTGGGGTGGGATGTGTGCATAATGAATCGAACGGGATCATGGATAGGAACCAAATGAGGACAGTGGTGCATTAATTGTGGGGTTCTCTTAGGGCTGATTTGGTAGTTATGCCGAAGAGAGCATCAAAATCATAATTCAGCGTAATATTCATTAGGTTTTAAACTTTTACAAAAAGATATCCAGGCAGCAGAAATGAGAACCTTGTAAGCATAAATAATTACCACAATGAATAAACTTAAATAGGAAATTCCTGAATTTGACAACTTTGAAAAGGTCAAAAAATCCTTTTAAGCTCCAGCAGTCAATGAAGCTGCAATTTAACAAGGTTTAGGTCGATAGGAGATTTCGTTTTGTACCTCATGAGAAAATAAGTAACTAAAAGTTATAAAAAGCACAAACCAAGTTACATTTTTCACTTCGGCGCTTTTTGGTGTCAAATATGTAGTGTATTCTTAACACATACTATAGCACCTATTGAATTGTGTTATATGGCAGAAAGTACGCTAACTCGGCCCATGAAACATACTCTCGGCACTTCGCAGAATTCAACTGAAATTTAACCAAATTACGCCGCACGTCAACTAGGGGATATTATCATTATAATTGCTTAACATTTCTTAACCCTAGAATTCAATACTCTCATTGACTGCTTTTTACACGGCATCATGGTTAGACTTAAGCCCTTATTCGCAGCACGCAAGAAGCCACGGTTTTTATATCAAAATTGGGTTGGCACGAAGCGAAGAGAATGTCAGAGAATATATACTAGATTAAGACAAGTTATGGCACCAATTTGGCCTTATTGCGCATTGGATATTGGCTTGTCATGTTTTAAATAACAATAAAGTATCTACGGGACAAAAAATTCGTTCATAGGATTTTCAACATCTAATTTCCACTAAATACGACATATATTATATCCATGAGGCGTAAATGCTATTTCCAGAAGGGTGAGCTTACTTACTAACTTATTGCGGAAAAATATCCGATTGACATAAATCACGGATGTTCTATTTAAGAAGGTGAATGACAGTAAAATAATATTTTTTTAGGTTCATAAATCGAATTGGATTTGGCAGTAAAACTAAAATAAATTAATAATATGTAAAAACCTAAAACATGAGGGATTACAAAAAATTCTACTCCCATGTTAAGGTCTTAAATTGTGGACAATCATCGGACTCCCTGACAAAGTAAAATTTTTTAATTTGGACTCCGTTGCAAATTTATATATTTTACTAGCAAACATTCCGGATTAAATACCAAATGAGGATACAAAATGGAGCATAAAACGGTCAAAGTTTTTTTGAACGCTTTTCCCCTCGATGCTAAATGTATAAAAACGGTAGGCAGGGATTACGTATAAAACGAAAAAATTCAGAAGTCATAATGATGCATTTGGGCGTTGATTCTAAATATATTAAAAAAAACTGAACTAAAAGTAGAGGAACAATAATCTATCAAACAATGTTATCTACTGCCAGTACCTTACAGGAAAGGCGTTGATTTGCACTAGAATCAGATAATAGATATTTATCGTTTAATTGAATAAACTTGCGTAACAAGTAGTGTGTATCCTTTTTCTGATCTCTAAAATTGTGTTTATTTGATTGATTTATATTTTTTAACTAGTTATATCATTTTATTTATTTCGGATAAAAGATTTAAAATAGTAACAATCAATCTTTGTTTTAAATAGCCCTACTTCCCTTCCCGCCAGAGATATTAACTGCCGCAGCCTTCAACTGATTTAGATGTACTCGAATCAGAATTTAATGTTCACCGACTTTTCGCTTGAGCCTCAAGCATTCAGGGATCTAAATCGTCACGAAAAAAGTCTCGGTCTTTTGACAGAAAAATTTGTCCAGTTGTTGAAAGAAGCACCCGATGGTATACTGGACTTGAAATTGGTACAACAACACTTTGTCCATATGCATTACTACGTTTAGGCCGCGGACTTCCTAGCTGTTCGACAAAAGCGCCGTATATATGACATCACGAATGTTTTGGAGGGTATTGGGCTTATTGAGAAACGCACAAAAAACAGCATCCAATGGAAGTACGTCGCCCGATCCGCTTCTGCTAATTGAAAATCTATTTTTTTTGCTGAGTCCCTATTATGGTTTTATTTTAGGGGTGGGAGCGCAGCAACAAATGGGCCCGACATCCAAGCCCGTCAGGACGAGTTACAGGCTGAGGTTGAGTACCTGCAGAATCTAGAGAAGAAAGTAGACGAACATCGTGCAAAAGTCCTCCAATCTTTGCGCAACGTCCAAGAAGACTTGGACAATGAGCAATTTAGCTACATTACTTATCAGGACTTACTTAATGTATTTCACGATCGCACCATTCTGGTTATTCGTGCCCCTGAGGGAACACAGCTAGACGCCCCCATACCAGATGCCGAAATGGATCAGTCGACACACTCCCTCTTTGCTATGAAAAGACCATACAAGGTAATTGGTTTCCACCGAATAAACTAAACACCTTTAGTCGGTTCCAGATTTCCAAATCCATTTAAAGAGCCCATCTGCCGCTATCGAAGTTTTACTAGTGAATCAAGAAGATAATCAAAACAAAACTCGTGTTCTTGCTACTGGTCAGTCGACTTTTGATTCCCGAAGGGCAGGTAACCGCCAAGGTAATCGCCGCACACATCATAACTGATTATCTTTGTAGATGACAACGGAATCGCAAACCCACTCCTTCCCTTGAGCCCCCCTCCTGGAGAGCGTGACTTTTCTTACAACTTGGAAGAAAATGAAGGCATTTCGGATCTCTTTGATATACATCCCACTTAGTCCATAAAATAAGTGACAGTTATCCAGTCCATTCCTCTACCCCTGTAAAAAGTGTCTATATACGTTTTATTGCCATAAGTCAGACTTCTCTTATGGAACGGGACCTCGTACTGCTACACATCAGCTGAGAGGCCGTCAAAGCAGTTTCTTGTGATCCGACCGACAATGCTGGAGGTAGTGTGGTGATTTGGCACGTGTCTCGGCTACAACAGCATGCCCGAATTTCCTAGAACTTAGTTCCTTAGCTTCTTCGTGGTCTAAACATCACAGATGCCTTTGATACGTAAAATGATAAATCTATGAATGCATGTGGAGTATTTTATGTAAAAAAATGCATTTTAATATATGACTGGAGGTTGCTGAGTAGGTAGGAGGTTGAAACGCATCTTCAGCGTAACACGTTGCTCGGAGTATTTGTCGTCTGGCGAGTACCGCGCCGGGTGTGCTGACTGTGTTGGCCTCCCCTCCGGGTCAATGAACTGGATATGAAAAGAGCAATGAATTCGTTGCGTTAGAACTCGTGCAGGCATTCAAAGGCGGCTAGCCACCAAATACGAATACGGCAACAAAAAATGGAGGAGCTTTGCCGAATTGAACGGATTCCAACGGTGCTCGGAAGCAGATTAACTCTCACGACCACGAGACTGACGTTGATTACATATGTAACATCCACGCTCAAACCTCACAATTAGCACGACTCATGCTGTTGGTTGCTAGATGCGTCTACAAATCCCACTAAGCCGCATTCTGACAAGTCTTAAAATTATAATTCATGCATAAAAAACTGACCCAACCAACAGCTTGACCTGTGGTGTGGTAGTAAGAAGCTCAGTATAGAAGACTAGAAATTTTTCATCGCAAAAAGGGAGGGAATGAAATTCAAGTGGCAAATAGCTATGGCCCATTTAAGATAACATACAGTACTGCAAGCAGTTAGATGAATAAGATAGATAAGATAAACGCATTTTTAAAATTTCAAAATAAAACATTAAGAACAAACAACTAGCACCAAAAGTATTAACAAAAGGAACATGACAGAACAAGTTTACATCGTGAGAAAAACACATAGAGCACACGGAAGTGACCAGAATAGCAGTTATTAAAGTGATGCAAAATGAGGGCTGTCTGAATTAAAGTGGAAAACGAAGAGTCTGAATTGCCACTGAAGAGGCATACTCCAAACGCAAATATGTTCTGAACCAAAAAGCCTTACAGTATCCTTTCAGTAATAGCTTTGTTACAATAGCATTAATCAAGATGGTAACAAACCAAGGTTTTTTTGAAATTTATATGGGAAAAGTCACACTTGCTAATTATTTGTTTTCACGACCTAACTAAACATGGTAGAACAAATCGAAAATGTCATCAGATCCACAATTATATGGATTACTCCACACATTTCACAAATACATCTACATACTGTTTTAATTAGACTTAACCTCAGTAGACGCATTAAACTAGGTTGCATGGCAGACACTACGCGATTCCAGCTAATATTCTTCTTGTCAAACTCTCAAAAAAATGATAACTCTGCGGAAAATTCCCTGAGCCACAGATCCCGCACAACCTTATCGTTGCTACTGATGCTACGCACCCTGGGTTCGGGGCTCTCATAATCAGTACGTCCACAATACTAGGCAAAAAATCAATCCGCTTAAGATACACAACACACTAAATTTACGCAAGCGTGACACGTACTTTCATAGTGTATACCCGTTTACCACTATCATCAAGATAATAACGGAGCAACATCTGACGGGCGGCAAAAAAAGTACGATGACCACGAGGGAGATCGAGCACCAACCAATCAAACAGAAGAGAATCCCTCAATTGGCGTGTATAAACAAGAACAATTTGACAACTTGTAATCTGTTTGTAATATATGCAACCATTAAAAATTTCTTTGTCTTTGATTTTATTTGTGTACTTGATAATACTTTTACCTTCGTAATTAAAAAATGATATTACTTATTTGGAATTCTTTCAACGTATGAATGGTCGTTTATTGTGAAGTGGAGCATGGTGAAAATGAAGCTATGACCTGGATGCAGTTAAGACGATTTCTCTGTTTTGTTTGATTCGTTTCAATCTGAAAAGCGTTTAAATTCATAGAAAGAAACTCATTGAAACTCATGTGGAGGCAGTTCTTTGAAATAAGGGAAATATTTTTCTACAATTCAGTCTATTTAAATCAAATAAAGCAAAATACAAGGCACTTTTACAACAAGGTTCATCGTCCGATTTTTGTTGATAAATCACTCGCAGGGCCTACTAATAAACGCTTTAGCCAAGGCAGACGTTTATCAAAACGTTATTATTTATCTGTGTTTTTTTAAATGTCTTTAAGACATTCTAAAGAGTTTCATTTTGAAAATACTGTAGCCGATTGCATAAACGACTGCATAGGCCTTCGTCGATTTCACATTGTGATTGATTCTGGAGGGTGCAAATTCCGTGTTTTTATATCATTTGGATGTTAAGAGTATTCTTCATTTGAAAGACAAAAGTGCCAGTTGTATTTTGTGTAAAATTTTATCCCAGAGAAAGTTTGGTTTAACCGTGGGAACGTTGGCTCGTAACAGGCAACCACGAACCAGTATTATTTATAGGTACCGTAAGTAATATTGTAATTTCATTTATTTAAGTCAATCGATTTTGATTTTAATTAATTAATTTTTATAACTCACAATTTTACAAATCTTTTTAATTAAAAAATTTGCAATGTATATGGGTTTTTCATTCCAGTACATCACTTTACCAATCGCTCGGCACATAATTAAAGCGCAATGACTCCGTTTTTTACGCAACTAAAGTTGACAAATAGAGTTTTGAAAAAAAATTATTAACAGGTGGAATAATCTTGACTCGACTGACCTCTGATCATTACAGGTGATACGATGAGGTCAAGTAATCAATAGTTAGAACTACTGTAAAGCCATTTCGTGTACTGGAACTTGAAAATTTAGGCTTTCTGCTTCATATGAATTTGAAGAGTGATAAATTGGGGCAAGAAATGTGAAAGGGAGACCATCCCTGAAACCCATGATGACACTGGAATTATTAACATTTTTATTTTTAGAACTGATTATTAGTTCTCAAGTATTAATACAAGAGGCTGAAAATGCAACCTCGTTGTCCGATGAACATTTAGGTTTTTTTTGAAATAATAATGAGGCATGGGAGAGTGCTCTCTACCTTGACTTGACTATTAATAGCGCATCACAAAATAGCAAGCTCTCTAGTGTATTTAGGAGCCAATAATCAAACTATGCAAGTGCAAAATCAGAGGTGATGCAAATTCCCGTCCCGCTCAAGGATTCGAATTAAAACTTTTAATATGTGGATTGTTGTGGACAGGAAGTCCTGAAAGTTCGCAGAAGGAGGGGATTAAGTGAAATTTTGGACGAAACTGCTTGACTTAATCAAAGAGTAGTCAACTTTGTTTGAAAGTATCAGTTACTCGCATTAATATCTGAAGATAACCAGAGTTAAAAACTATGCACCAATGAAATTAGAGTAATGTAGATTCAGCTGTTGTGGATGTTGACACTGCTATTTATGACATCTATTTACTTAGCTCTGTCCACATAGTTACAACTCTCTAGTCGGGCCACGTCATTTTTCACATTAACGACACATCGCTCAGTGGAAATCACCCAGATAGTCGATCTCAGGTCGTCTAGGCTTTTAAAAGTCGGAGGACCTCAAAATACACTTGATTGGGACAGTAAAGCTTACTGGATCCGGTTTGAAACTCTTAATCCCTGGAAAGCACAGACATCGGGTTCTTAGTTTTACGCACCTAAATTTTAAATCAAAATGGAAAACAGGATTGCTAAAAATTTATGTCGTAACTTCGAAATGAACTACTTGAAAATCTGCAGAAACTAACTTCAAATTATGGATGATCTCAAATTGACCGTCGAGTGAATTAAATTGCCCCACAAATAAGTCACTTACCCTCTGTCGATGTTTAAAACCGGAAGCGGTGCTTGCGGCTTCATAAAACGTCCTCAAAATGTTCGTGGATTGTTGCTGGATTCCTTGCTTATCGAAGTAGATAACTGAACACGGCTACAACGATCGTGTGGACGAATTGGAATGAAAGCTGAGGACTAATTCCTGGACTAACTCTTGAGAGGCCCACTGAAGATTAACAATTTTTTTTGTCTACAACCGCAGATCTAATAAAGGTCTTTTTAAGTGAATGCCTTAAATTTGTGCACCCTTAGAATCCTTGGAAGCATTTCAAAACCGATTAGGCGGGCTGATATTTACAGCATCAAGCACCTCTGTGAGTGTACCTCCATTAACGCTACCCATTCCATTTATCCAGCCATTCACCAACTTGTACTTTTACAAGTTAACCCAAACTGTAGTAATCAATATCCCTATTTAGTCAGACACGAGTTTTTATCCGTGGTGGTTGAGCTGTCTACCAAACGGTTGTGCATCGCCATCTCCTGTCAGTTTAGAATATACCGACTAACTCAACACAGTGGTCCCGGTGTGGTTCGTGAACCTTCTACAATCTGGTAATTGGCGACTTTCTTGGACGATTTAAATGGGATCGCGTCTGTGTCTCACTGTTAAATGGAAAGTCACTTCTCAATCTTTTCTGCCTTCCTTCAAATCTCAAAGTGCGGTCGTTACTCGACAAGCACGCCCACCTCTAGGTCCCAATTCACCTCGTCGCTCCTCCGCTAAACTCACTCATATCAGCTTGGCTTAGTTATTCAACATTCGGCTATCTCAACCAGGTTGCATCTTTGTCCTCAATCATCTCCGGACGACGCCCAATTGCCGGCATCCCCCTAGAATTCGGACGACGCTAAATCTCCAGACGCCGCTACATTATGGGCAGTAAATATCGATACCCATCACTTTCATCGGCCCCATTTCAAATCCAAAATTTCTCGCCTTTCTCGACCTTGTCTCTTCACTTGACTATTGCATTTCGCAATCCTGTTGCGTCTCTCGACTTTCGACACATCTCCGGCAGATCTTATCAATTTATTCTTGCTTTGGTTCTGAACTCTCAACCAGAGCCAAAGCCTCAACTATCTCACGGCAACAATTAGGCCTCACGTGCCACCATCAAAACTTCAGATATCCTACTGAAAGAAAAGATTGTATTGTCTGCAGGAAATCACCCCAAATGTTTTCCAAAAAGCTCCATCTAGTGACGACTATTCCCCTCACTCAATCACTCTCGCAAATTGACCACACAAAACCTACTGCCCAAACGGTACACAATTTGCAATCTAAAAGCTGAGTTTTCTAGGGTATTTTGAATTGCTGGTGCTTTCCATTAAATGCACGGCAGCTGGCAAGATAACATATAAACTCGTTTACACCATATAATTGCTAGATGCATCATTCCTGCTTCTGTCTCCATTAAACCAGGTAGTCTGCCACACCACTAGTCACTGCAGCGCAAAATCACTCCATCGTTCCACGGCGTGGAACTGCACTAATAAATCGAAGACTGTCCTCCTGCAGGTGCCAGACACGACACCGGTCATAATGCCAGAGTATCAAAAGACAGATCAACGAGGTGAGGAAACACGTGACTGGCAGGAAGACGCCGTAGAAGACGGTCGACGGACGATGGTACTTGTACATCAGCGCCTCGTTTCCGTGGACCGCCCAGGAGACAAAGCACCTGAACACCGGTCGCTTCTCGAGGCGCCACTGGAAGACCCTGATGGCGAAAAGATTCTCCTCTAGCCTTTTGTGGCAGTAGTGAGTGACGCACTAGAAATGCAAACACAAATTTAGTAGTAAAATAAAGCGGATAGTTCCGGGATACATTAGGCGAAAGACCTACGTTATGCAAATTTTTTTTCTCCCGGCTTAAAATGCTAGTTAAAATGGAAATATTTTCGAAGTTTTTTTGTAGGTTTTAAAGGATTCGGACACAAGGCTGCAGAACACCGGCCAAAAAGTTCACGTGAGATACATAACCTCTCAGAATAGCAGAGTGTACGATGGCAACTCATAAGCAGCATATTTTATGTCACTACCTCAACAAGGAAAAGTATTACTGTGGCGTGAGAATCAATTAGCAGTGTTGTTGATGTCAGCGTTGTATCGTATGGAACGTGCAATTATTGGTACAAACGTTTTAGAAGTGGCGATTTCGACCTTAGTGACCAGCCACGTTCCAGAGAGCCCAGTGTGTGGCGATGTGCAATTGCAAGCACTACTGGATGAAGACTCAACGCAAACGCAAGAAGAGGTAGCAGCTCAGTTAGGAGTCACCGAATCGGCAATTTCCAAGCATTTGCACCACTAACTGGGAAAAATTAAAAAAAATTGGAAGCTGGGTCCCACATGTGTTGACCTAACACAGCCTCCTAGGTCAACGGATGGACACATGCCTTCCGATGCTTGCCCGCCGGCAATAAAAAAAGGCTTCCTTGTGCAAAATTGTGACGATTGATGAAAATCATATTATCAACGAGAATCCCGAGCGTGAAGAGCAGTGGGTAGATCCCGGGCAACTCAGTACATTCGTCGAAACAGAACACATGAAAGGGGCACGTTATTACGAACTCCTGGAAACTTGTCGTCAAACGGTGATCGCTCAACGGTACAGCCGAAAATTGAATAAACTGCTTGAATAACTTGATGAGAAACGGCCATTTACTGGGCAAGGAAACAGGCAAGTCATACTGCTGCTTCATGACATTGCTCGACTTCACGTTGGCCGCACGACTTAGAAGATCCACCAGAACTTGTGATGGGAAGTTCTGCTACACGTGGCCTGTTCACCAGACTTGGCCCCATCGGACTGCAATTTGTTCCGGTCAACAGCAGCACGCCTTAGTGGATAAACAGATCATATTGCTAGACGATGTGCGTAAATTCGTCGTCAGTGACTTTTTGCCCCGAAGCCTGCAAGTTTGTTTCGCGATAACATTCGTACTTTCCTGAGAGATGGCACAAGGTCACAGAACACGACGGAAAATATTTTCAAGATTAATTTGTTGAAATATCTGCAAAATTAAATCACCCTACTCATGGATGACTGTCTGTCCCCCTTTTATTTGACCGTTTACCGAATAATCGATTAGTTTGAAGTGAAAACAGAAAGTAGAATCCACCCTGTAGAAAATTGTTTGATATTCTTGTTTGACTACAGTGTTAAACTTGTGACGAAACGTCTTGTTTTAATTCATGGACTACCTGAAGTCGATTGTTATGGCAAGAGCTATAACCTAAAGTGCATCTGGTTGTTGGGTTTTACAGTCCATCTACCAATCAGATGGGCTCAAAACCACCTGCAAACCGGAAACCAGCATTTCTGTTTTTGTGAGAACCAAGCCATCACCATACCCAAAATCTTACTGAGGTATAAAACCATGTTTCTGATACAGTTACGCACTCTTCTTCATCTACAATAAATTCTTGTCTTTGCTGAACTTCAACGGGTTATCTAAGTGTTTGAAAGTGAACTAGACATCTCAAAGGTGCATGACAGGTGTGTTTCAACAATACGAGGTAGTCTATTTTTAGTTTGTGATTAAAAGCATTCATATGCAGAAAGGAAGATTACGATCACATTTAGCAGGTATGGGTATGCCTAGGCAAATCCAGGCAGATACTGAAACAAAAATGATTGGCTGGCAGATTCAGACGCGTTGAACGAAGTCACGTAATTAAAACTGAGTCGAGATGACTATAACATTCCCAGGATAAAGTCAGATTTCATAAAAATAAGTGGAGTCGACATGCATTGACGTGTGTGGAACTGCCGTCGTTTAATTATTAACACCACATTCAAAGTTTGTATTTTAATTAGAGGTGCTAAGAATTGAAATTATAAAAGCAATGAAAGCAGGCTGAAATGATTTTAAGTTCACTTGAGAATGTTGGTGGAGACTGCAGCAACTGCATGGTCTTGGACAGAGGTTGGGCCAACCAAGTGAACACTTAACAAGGTGGTAAATAGGAGGGAACAGAAGATCCGGTTGTGGGGCCTGTCACTGCCTGGGAACGTTGGTACATTACGCATCTCGGTGCGCTAATATTGAGTTGAGCAAGCGTCAATTAGGTCAAAAAAGTTGACTCACAAAAACCAATTATGCAAAACAGTAGCTAGAGGGCTTTTTCGCGTACTCTGACCAAATATTTGTTGAAGGGAAAGTTACTGAAGTCTAATTTCACTGCCTTTTCGATTTTGACATTTCAAAATCACGGCAACGAGTTGGGCTGTTGAGTGAGTCAGGCGCATTCAAATCTTATTGGAAAGTGTAACAGTGTAAACAATTTCGGGTGTGCAAGGGATCAAGTAAAGCTCCAATTTGCGAATTCACTTCAAGGCGCCGCCGAACTGATACCAACTGAAGTCTGCCGTAGCTGCTTTGGTTTTTACCCCGAGCGAATTTTTTTTGACGCTAATTTAAGCAATTAGAATGACTCTGCACAATGCTTACAGCTGGGAATGTCACACGATCCCGAAATGCACATAGAGAATTTACTGGAACAAAACATCAATCCAGAAAACCCTTTGGGCATGATTCATGCGACCATCGAGGCGACCGTAGTACTAGTTTTTGTCCACTTAAGAAGTAATGCCGACACGTGCGTCAAGCCAATTTCCTGGACAATTTTTGACCGAATGCATCAGACCAGGCTAACGACAGGAGGGAAATACACGACTACTGGGATGGTGTGCGTATATTTTTCAAAACGAAATGCGAAATGAATGTTTTTAGGTCAAAAAAGCAGCTTCGAGAACTGATATGTGGACTTAGGAGGCTCCAGTGCTAAGTGCAATTTGACAAATTTGAGGAATGAGTTACTCTTCTTGACAGCGAAAGTGAAATCTGAGGGTAAAATTGAGCTGGAAACGGAAATTGTGGCTAGAATTTATGATTTCAGAGAAAACGTAATGTAAACCGAATGAGAGGATTGCATTTTCCGCAGTTTTTGCACTTGTCTTTTTTATGGGTAGTCAAATAGAAACCACCTCCTGAATAAACGGAACCACTGAATGATAATGTAACCATGGTGACGCTAACAACGTCAGAAAATGGCGTTTGGTAGCCCTGTTGTTATAGGCTGGTCTAGGATAGTTTTTTACAAGCTGGCAAAGAGAACGAACTTTGACCAAATAGGGATGGTGTGAGCTGATGCCTTTGACTCTGGCCGGCACGCCTAGTTGTTGCGTATTTAGCAGTAGTTAGAAGTGTGTAAAGTAGATGATCTTCTCAGTTGGAATTTACTGAGCTGTGCTAGTGGCACACCCAGTTCAGATTGTTCGTTTTAATAAATGCAAATTCATTCTTAGTGAAAACTAGAATAAACTGTCAGAGTATTGGACGCCAGCAACACGAATGCCAAGGTGTTTGTGTTCCAACTGATGTCATACACGCCAGATAAGTCATGAACTTTTAAACAACTGAGGCGCTGCCAAAGTTGGTGTGAAATCCTACGAACTGTACTTCGCACACTTCAGTAGTGAGCGACTTGTGAACTGGGAACTTTAACAAAAGAGTGGGACTCAAACTCGTTGACTCAACGGGGAGATTTGTGTGTGTGTGTGTGTGCATCAGAGCACGAAACAGTGATCTAATGGAATAACCACCCCTAAAAGTCGAAAGGATGTTACCTTGTACCTGCGATAGTGTTCGTGCGTCTCAATGGTGTCAAACAAAGTCGCCGAGTACTTTGTTCCGTTTTTCTCAAACACAACCGTCACATGGAGGCAGGGGAATAGGGAGCGTTCGCGTGAGCAGCGATTTTCACACTTAAGAATGGGCATGTGTTTTTCGATCGACTCGATCCGACACACGCTCTCCTCGAAGCCGTGCTCGTGCAGGTAGGGAAGGACGACAAGGTAGAGGATAATGATACCAGTGAGGAGGGAACAGGTGAGTAGGGTGACACAGAATATGTATGCTGCTCTTCGAAACGTCGAATTGCCATGCGCGTGAATGAGACGAGCTATGGGAAGCGTCATGTTCACTGGATCACAGGGCAAAAACTGCCAGATGATTGTGCCAGTTTGTGTAACTACTTCCGGCTTCGGTAAACCATCAGCCCAAAACAGGCTCGCGCCGGTACGAAGTTTAAAAATTACTAAACAGCAATCACGTGTCGCCTTAGTTTTGTCAAAACCAGCAGTCAATCATCACAGACCGAAATCCAAATGTCGCACCGTTTGCCTCAGTAGTCCATCAGATCCTTTCCATGCCTGCTAGTTGCAAATTTACGATAGTAGAAAGCCCCCACCGTGTTCACAGCCCGTTCAGTTCATACAGCTAACTGAATTTGCATTATTTTGGCACATCACTCGATCCAATAACACCATAGATATCACGATAAAACCAAGCGTAAAACAGCCCGCTTTCAAGGTTACTAAGCTGATTTTAAAATAAAGATTAGCAGGCGCACATTCGATAGTCCACAACCGCAGTGGTTGTAATTTCGTTTATGGCGAAATCAAAAGCGCGTAAAATCTGGTCAGTTGGTCATGAAACCTTTGGGGGTAAAATAACAGCCCAGTTGAGTCGAAGTCAGTGCTTTGCTAGTTTGTGTATGACGCTTCTAAATGCCAATTACCAGTAAAGGTACCTTGGTCACAATCAATGCAGTAATTGCTATAATATTTTTTTTAAACTTAACGGCTGCAACACGATTAGCATTTTATGGTGTTTTATAGGATCTAGTTTGCTTGTAATCGTCATAGCGCGTTCCTTTCCGTTTTACACGAAATTTCAAATCCATTTTTAATGAAGTCGGGAACAATATTAGTACATTCCGACACTGTTATCAACACGTTGACTAATATTTACAGACGTTTACGTTGAAACCAACTGGATTTCGCCTCGATCATGCCACTGGAACATTTTCCCAGGGTCGAATGTTAGTTTTAATCACGTAGTCATCCAAAATGAGATACACATTAACTGGGATTCAAACTTCGCTCATCGTATAAGAGAAGCAAATTAGCTACAACTGTTTTGCACCATAAGTAAAGTCATGTTGTAGAGATTTTACGTTCAGAAAGTGTCCAGAAGAGGTCTCGCTGTTTTTGCTATTAGGCTTTCCCTCATTCATTTGACGAAAACTTGCAGTATAGTCTGAACCTCATTAATAACGTCAAGTCATACACTCAAACGCTTAATTAATTGAGCTTTCTGGCCGCGAAACCCCTGATTCCGTTCCGATAAATTAAAATACCAAATTGTTAAGAAATGAAAAGTTTTGTGGGCTACTAAATAGAAAAGGAAACTTTGATTTCAAAATTTCCGTGATTAAATTTCAGCTTGTTTTCTTACCTTGCCAATATACACTAAGTGGTTTGACTTCAAAACATCATTCATTAAAATCCAAAAAGTATTGCATGCATTGTCCACTGAATGGGAGACAGGAGCTTGTTAAATATAACTTGGACAGTCAATAAAAACCTCCCCACGGCCTTCTGATGTTTTACCGCACAGTTTAACACTCGTTTCGCCCTAGCGCAACTCACTAAACTCTTAAAAGCGCGACTGAATCATCGATCCGTGGAGTTAGCAAAAACCACAAGGCCGACAATTTCTTTCAAATCGGCTTTATACGACCTGATTTTGCAGCTGGCATTCAATAAACTACTAGAACGAGGCATGGATAGTTTTCGAATCACTATATTTGGCTAACTCATGCAAAAATTAGTCCGAATTGAACCACACTGGAGCAGTTGATCAAGGTGGTAAACTTGAAGCAGAAGGCAACCGTTATTAATGGGCTATTGATTGTTTGTTGGGGGTTATGATTGTGACCTCTCCTTTAAGGCATAGTACAGTTGTAGTGACTCTTGCTGATCCACGTTCATCCGGCCTGTCGCAGCATGCTCCAACGCACTGCCCCCCCCTCCCCGCCTGCTCAATCACCCCTTTGCATGTCACCATTCAGCCGTTTGAATTTTAACTAATTTACTCAGAAAAAAAACACACGACATTTTGGTGACACATTGTCAAAAATGATCTGTAATTAACTTGTATGAAATCACATCTAACCAAGAAGTTTTACACTTTGTCGGTGAGTATTGGTTGTAATGGTAGCTATTCAAAACATGCAAACAGATGCTCATTAGGATGTCGTTAAATGGTACTTCCGGGCTTTAGCTTACAACTGGTTTCAGTCATGAAGTACGAATACAAAACCAGGATATAATGACGTGTGAAAAATACACGCAGATTGTGCGGATTTCAAATCGAACCACGATTTTAAGACTAATCTCCTACAGTGATCACATGTACCGCAGGTTCTTCAGGGCCTTTATGTCGGCCTGTGGTTTTAATTTCTCGAAAAAATTGGGGTTTTAATGCGTTACTGTCTCCAACAGCTGATTGTTGCCTTTCTTGCAAGTAACGCTGCCTCAGCAACGGGCGATTGTCGCCCTCAGACCTGTCCATTAGACAAAAGTTGACATCGCAACGAAAAGTCAACAGTGCATCAACACTCCCTATGAGGAGGTTTACTGCAAGCACAGCCCATATGGCGAAACTAAATAGAACGAAATTCAATTCCCAGATTAAACTTTTAGTTAATTGCTAAAATGCTAATGAATTGGGTATCACAGTGTCATTTTGAGGTAGTAGTGAATCGCCCCATTGACCTGGTCGTCGCAGACTCACACACACGTCCCACTTTTCACGTCATGTCCGTCAGTCACGTGAAGCCACCAGCTCATTAACCCCTATGAATGTACCACCACCACCACCACCACCACCACCACCACCACCACCACCACCACCACCACCACCACCACCACCACCACC